TTTCCTTTCTTCTTTATGATTTCTATTACTGATTTTAATCCTGCCATGTCATGCTTTCTAATCATACAGGTTCTAGTTTATCTTTCATTCCATGTGACCTTTTTAATTTCCTGTAATGTGAAAAAGATATTATGGACAATAACTATAGTACAATTCCTTATGGTGTGTGTGTGGGGGGGGTTGTACAGTGCTTGTACAGATACATGCATTTATATGCTCAGGCTGATGGGCACTTGTTAATATGTGCAAAGACCAAAGGTTAACACTGAATGGCTTTTTCAATCCCTTATTTTTAGACAGAGTTGCTCTCTAAAGTTAAAATGGTTGCTTGTGTCTGCCTTCCCAGCACTGGAGTTATAGATATATGTAATAATATCTCCTTTTTATGTGCGAGCTAGAGATCCAAACTCAGCCCTCATGCCATCTCTGACATATATACTGTCTATCAGGCTTGTCACAAAGTTACATTAAGGAATCTAATTTTATGTCCTGATTATTTCCACTTGAAGTAAAGTATATTTATCTCAACTTAATTTCCTAAAATGTGTGAGAAAGGATTCCTGAATAATCTAAACATTTCCCTTATGGGACATTCAACTTTTATCAAAGTGAAAGAACTGCAAGATGTAATTCTCTGTCCTCATTTTGGATAGAAAATGTGAGGAGATTCAGACAATGGGTATTTTCAGGAAGATAACTTTATTTCTATATAGTTTTATTCCATGTTTGTTGACCCACTACATATCATGCTTCTGTGCAGCTTAAGAAATGAAGGCAATTGCTTCTCTTGCATTTGATCTGCTTCATTATTTTAAAATAGTTGTTTTTATTTATATGTTTGAGTGTTTTTTCTACATGTATGTTTGTATACTACATTTGTGCCTGGTACCCAAAGAATTGAAAAGATTGTATCCTATCTTGGGAGACTGTCTGGAGCTACAGACAGCTGTGAGCTGCCAATTGGGTACTGGGATCCAAACCTGGGTCTTTTGGAAGAACTTACAGTGCTCTTAACCACTTGGCCATCTTGCCAGCTGTTTACTTTACTTGTATTTATTGTTTTGAATAAAAGTAGTAACCCACTCAGTTTTGGGACACTCATTCTGTTTTTTAAAAAAATCTTTCACCTGGCATGAATTAAGAACAAAATTTGGAATGGGGAGGATTCTCTAAGCATGGATTTATTTATCTGGTAGAAATTCCTAACATTTTGCTGCAATTCTCTTTGATAATCAGCTATTATGATATGAAGGCCTTCTTTATTATTCCTAAAATTAAAGAAAAAAGATAGTAGAACTATAAATTGTTGCATCACCATTTCCTAGAAGAAAACAAGGATCCTTGATTCTTGGTTTCCAGGGAAAATTAATAGTGTTTTAAGTTTCTGGAAATATCCCAAAGCTAACAATACTGCCAATTCTGCTGGAAATGAGCCTTGAAGGAGGAAGCAAACAGAATGAGTTTGGGAGAAAAGGTGGTGTGGTATCTGAAGGGAGCTGATTTCCTGTGAATAAGACAGTAGGAACTCTATCAGCCTATAAAGGAAAGACACCTGCATATGCAAAAGCCACATCCCCAGTACTGATAGGCCTTAAGATGCTTGCCGGTGGACCAAGGAAATCTGAACCCTGAAGTGAATACATGGGAGCAACAGTCAAGATTTCTATGTTTATTTTGGCAGAAAAAAACAAATAAAAAGAGCATTTTCAAAAGGATCCTGTTGATCACAAGGAAATAGCACATGGATGTAAGTTATCCTGAAGGGAGCTTTTTCCTAAGGAATTTTGGTCAGTCTGAACACATCAGTTAATGGGTTTAATGAGGAAGCATAACCAGACCTTCTAGAGATCAGCTTAAGAAGTGGAATATTTTAAACGCTCCAGGTAAGGTGACTTATGATCATGATAGTCGTCCTGCATTTGCAAGGCTGCAACTGGAAGATTTCTGTGAGTTCAAAACCACCCCAAGTTTCACAGTGAGTTTGAGAGCATCTACACTGTCTCAAAGAACAAAAACTCACCACCAACAAGAAAGCATACCAGACCTTAAAGCCAATCAAGAAAGTGATCGGTTGCCCTCATAAACAACATTGCCACTACTGCACTAGTGGGCCTCTGTTTCCTGGCAAGTTGATATTATAGATTATAGAGTCTAGTACTAAATAAGACCACTGTTGTCCTTTCTCTCCCGGAAGCCTGCATAGCACATTATAGTACTATGAAAACCAGTTCAAGGTTGATTTTCCTATGTCCAGCAGCCAGAATGAACAGCACCTTCAGCAATAAGGTCTTAGCCTCTAGTGTTAATGGGAAACCAAGAACAAGGCCTGTGTTATTTTGATGTTTCACTAAACAATCACTTACATGAAGGCAAGCCATGTCTGGCATGAGATTTTCATTTAGTAACATGTCTTCTAGCATACACCTAGATGAGAAGTGCCTCTGTTCAAATTCGCTTTAGTTTTAGAAACATAGTATTTTCATTAGCTTACAAAGTAGTAAAGCTTCACAAGGTTTTTCATATATCCTTGATTTTGCTTAACTCACCTTCTGTTCTTCCCTTCCTCCATGTCTTGTGTCCATCTTTAGCTCACAGTACCCCCTTCTATTGTATCAAATATTGTACTATTAGCTCTTATTAAATGTTTTATGTGTTTTCAAGATCATGCAGATTTCATTTTGGTTAAGCCTTGACCAGTCCCTCACTTCGCCATTCTCATCATTTCTCTACCTACTAGAACCCTCTGTCCCCAGCATTGCCCCTCTTTGCTTTCATTTCACCTATATTCTAAAATTTCAGCTCCCTAAAATCATCCTTTTTCTTCTAATGGCTTATTTCTATTTTCCTGGATCCCACATGTACTCCAGGTTTAAAAGATTTGAAGCTAGAACCCACATACAAAAGAGAACATATGGTTTTCATTTTTAGGGACCTGGACCACCCCACTCAGTAGATTTTTATTTCCATTTCTAGATCTTTTCCTGAAAAATCAATGACTTCAGATTTCATTATAGTTGAATAATATCTCACTGTGTATGTGGGTTGGAGATCTGCTTCATGGAGGGATTTCATGCCTGGTACTGTCAGCATGATCAAATCTCATGGTTAGAGAAGTCATTGTACCTAGGGGAGCACCTACTAAAGCTTTTTTAAGTGGTCATGTTATCAAACTGACTTCTAAATATCTATGACTATAGTAGTGGACCTGTGCTGCTCCCAACCTTCGTTACATATGCTACCTACTGCAGTGGAAATCAATTAATCCAGAGACTCATTATTGTTCTTTATCTGAGACTGAGCAACTGTAGGTGCTCAGCCATAGGTAGGGCACCTGCGTCAACTCTTTCCTGCATTCATCTCAGAGAACATGGTGGAAGATGGAGTGGAAAGAATGTAAGAGCCAAAGGATGAGAGAAGTGCTATAACATGCTATCTTCCAGACATGATGTGGCTGCCGTATACATGAACTCCAGGCAGCTGTGCTAACCTGCAGAAGTCAAGCCAGTTGAAATTTCTAGCACGGGATGGGGAAGAGCTCCTTAGGCACCATCCGTACCTGAAGAGCACTGGGTAGTCGATTGATGCTGAGAGAGGGAGAATCACTTTTCTTTATAGGGTGGCCAGTAGCAAGTTAGCCATGCCACATGGATGATTCCATATCCATGCCCATATAGGAAGCAATAATTGGACCCAGTGAATTTTTCTAAAGTAATTTTAAAATTGAGAGAGAGAGGAAATGGAAATCCTAAAATGTGTAGAAGTGGAGGACTGAGGAGTGGATAAGCCATACCAAGATTAATCTGATCACATGTGAACGCATGAGATCCCTCACCAAGAATACCATTTTCCATAAACAGTACAAACCATGTTGGCACCTCTGCCATCCTGTGACACAAGCATAACAGTGTTCTACTGACCCCTAGTGACCTCACAAGCCTTAAAGTGAACTAACAATGAACCCTACCCTACACATCAACACATTTATTCAAAAAGGGAACATTTGCTTTCGCTATAGTCAGGTGTATCTTACGGTTATCCCAAGGGAAGTTTTATTCTACATGTGATAATGCAGAGTGGAAAGCTGATGGGAAGGGGCAAACAGTTGGTGGGTAGGCAAGAGAGAGCAGTAGAGGACAAGAACAAATGAGAACAAAGCATAAAGACACATGAATTTGAGAAAAGGCAAGGAAGGAGTACATTGAAAGAGCTGAAGGGAGGGAAAGAAAGGGGAAGTGATGTAATTATATTTTAATTATACTAAAAATATTAAAATATGTGGGCATAAGGCTGAAGAGAAGCTGTGAGCTAGCCCTTGGGTAATCATTTAATTACAATTACAATTACAATTACAATTGCAATTGTAAAGTACAGCAGCAACATCCAGGAAACATCCCCTATCTGGTTCACAGAAGCTGCAAGAACAATTTTTGCAAAGTACTTGACTTCTTGCTCACAGAGACACCCACTAAGGCCTGGACCTACTATTTAAAACATTATCTGTGCACAAACCTAGTGCAGCCTAATCCTCGCTACCTCTGCCATCAAGGAAGCACAGCTTGAGTTTGCATGCTGCCTGATCTTTGTGCACTGAGATTCAGTGTATGTCTCCTGGGCACTATTTGTGTGATGACAGCTTATGAAACACTTTCTCATGGACAGAGAACATGGAAGAAATGGAGTATACTTCATGGAAAAATGCATATATTTCCAAATAAAAGTGTCTTTGTATTCTGCCTGTGTGTGAGGCCAGTGAAAAGTATTTCTTAGAGACTCTAGCAGAGTGATGGATAGGTTCTATGCATAGTTACCAAGCTTCCAGCATGAAGGATATCCATGGGTACTATAAATGTGCTATGCACTTTCTAAGATCTTCCCAGTGATAAACTCTTGTAAATGATACCTTAGATTCTGAGGTGAATCTAAGCAGAAAAATTATCTGTACACTCTGAATATACAAGCAGAAATATCGGGTGAATTTGTTCTAGGAAAGTATGAATCACCTGCACAGATGCTACCTTTTCCAAAGGACTTTCTACTCGAGGAATGTTGATCATCGGCATCCGGGCCACATTGTCCCTGTGCATGTGCCCATTCTCTGGTTGTCTTCCTTTGAAATTATTTACCACGCATACAACCTAAAATGTCAGGAAACAATTGCAGTTAAGTAAGTCATGCATCCTACAACTATTACCTTTTTCAGGAGCTTAATAATACTCCCAAAGCAACCACGTTTTAAAATTACCTAAATGTTATATGGATAAAACTTCACACCCAGATTTACCATGAATGAATTTGAATAGTTATTGTAGTGCAGGTAGGTTCAAGAAAATTCACCAACAAATATGTGTCAGAATGAATAATGATAATTCTAACATTCCAAAATGTTCATTAATATATAGACAATGCTCAATCCAATCCAAAATTAACAGCACAACCTTATAAAAATTCACAGCAAGCTAACCTATCCCTAATGTGGCTAACCTACAACTTAATTTTCATGATCATTATTTCTCAATGCTTCAAGAGTATTACATTCACACTAATCCTTGACACTTGGCATGCTCTAAAATAATAATACCGTTTAATTATACTAGTTTGTTGTCTATTGTGTCTCACATATAGGTAAGATTTGAACAATAGCTGACCAGAGATACTACTGAAATACAAGACCCTTCACATAAAGGAAATTGACTCCCATTTTAACTGATTATATCCTAGAGGTGAAAGAATGTGAACTGAACCATGCATGAAAATTAAGTTCCTGTAATGTTAAAAATATACATTCCTAAAAAATGATCTGATTTATTAGGTGATGAATATGGTACAGAAAATAGAACTTTTAAATGCATTCCAAAAGTTTCTGATGAAGATGAGTCATATTTAAGGAATAATGATTTAAGCAACATAGGAAAATTAGTTCCTATGGTGATTATATTAACCACTTGATAACATGATATTTTCTTGGGCTTTATATTCTAGAATAAATAAGACTTAATGTTCATTTCAACCTAATATTCATTTTACATAAAGTAAATGCTTAATCAATAAATTGTGTTTTTTCATAAATTCATCAATGGGAGACTTTTTGTTAAGCATATTAATGAATGTTTATTTTGTTTCTAAAATTTTTAAAGATTTATTTTGTTTTATGTGTAAGAGTTTTTACCCAGATATATGTGTGTGCATCGTGTAATGCCTGTATATGATGGTCAGAAGAAGAGCTCAGATGATGTGGTACTTAGAATTTGCAGATGGTTGTGAGCCAACATATGGGGGCTGGGAGCAAAACATAGGTACTCTGCAAGAGCAGCCAGTGCTCATAACAACTAAGCCATCTCTCCAGCTATATTATTCTTAAGTAATTCTAAATACCAATTAAATCTTGTTTACTCACTCATTATTCAATAAAATATACATGTGTATGAAATAATAACATATACTATAATACTTTATATCACAAAATTATTGCTTTGCAAGCTGTGATAACCATTTTTAATTCTCCTATGTCCTAGAAGAATTATTGGTTAAAACCACAGATAAAACCCCAATACTACAATACCACAACTTTTTCTGCATTTACGGTGATCTTTAAAGTAATGATGTAAAGTCTTGAAGGTTGTTATTCAGTACACTTTTTACCTTATGAAGTTGTCACTTTAGTGATCCCACAAAAGACTAAAAGAAGTTGAATGTGCAAGAAATAGTGTCTGTGGGTAACAAGGAGAACCCTAAGAGAGACATACCTGGATCCCCCTGGGAAGGGAAAATAGACAAGATCTCCTAAGGAAATAAGGAATGTGTGGAGGGAGAAGGGAGAACAGAAAAGGACGGGAGGGGAGAAAGGACAGGGGAGAAGACCACGAGGAAATGGAATGGTTGAAATTGGGGAAGGACAGAGGGAGAGCAAGGAAAGAGATATCTTTATAGAGGGAGCCATTGTGGGGTTAGCCAGAAACATGGCACTATGTAAATTCCCAGGAATTCACAAGGATGACCCCAGCTAAGACCCTAAGCATTAGTGGAGAGGGTGCCTGAACTGGTCTTCCTCTGTAATCAGATTGATAACTCCCTAAATTATCATCATAGAACCTTCATCCAGCAACTGATGGAAGCAATGACAACTACTCAACTCTATCCTTTTGAAGGGAAGGCAGCAATTCCATTTGCTCAACAGAAGAGACACATTGAAATTCTGATAAGCTTCCCTTACTAAGGCAGGTAAAAGGTCCAATTTGGTTTGCAGGCTGCACATTGATGAATGAACATTGTTCTAACACACAAAGGATAGAATTGGTAACTTTAGGTAACAACTGTAATGACACAGAGTTTCACATCCATAGCCTAACACTTACACTTCCAGAAATCACTCTTCCACCACATATTCATTCAGGATCCCTTACTTCAACTCAGAGCTCACCAAGCCCACTAGTCTATCTAATCAGCTTGTCCAAAAGGTTTTATTTTCTCCCAGCCTTCCATGTGCTGGGAATACAGACACCAACATTGCTCACCCAGAATTTTCATGGATTCAGGTATCTGACCTCCTCACATAGGTGCAACAAGTGCTTTATTGCCTTGCTTTCCCATGGAAGTCTCCCTTGAGCACTTGGCTAGGCAAGCTCACTGTGTTTCAGTGTTCTTGTTTTCTCTATGCTCACACGGAATTATGTCAGAGCATCTGTCTCAGTATAAAATTTCACACTGGATAAGGAAGTACTTCGATTCATGTCTCTTCTAAAACACTGCACTAGTCAGGAAACCTGTCTGTAGTTTGCTGCCTCTATACCCAACTATCATGGTAAGTGACATCATTCATAAATGAGCACACTAATGAATGAACATATATCCCAGTCACAAATTGTCAAGTTTAAAATTTTATGGTATATGTCTATAATTTCCTTTCAAACACTGTAGTTTTGTATCAATGGCTTTCACTTGTGTAACTCTGTATTCTCCTAAAAAGATTACATCAATAAACTACTACCACACATATTTTTAGTTTCTCTACATTGTACTAATACATTTTTATTTATTTACTTTTTTTCTTCCCATAATTGTTTCATTATGAACTTTGTGGAATCAAACAATATTGTCTCCTAATTTATTTTTTTCATATGCTAACTTTATGAACAAATATCATGACCCAGCTCTTGAAAATAACTCGGTCTCAGTTTTTATTATGCAAAGTTAGGACAATATATCTCAATAAAATGCTGTAATGGTTGTTTCTCTTACATAAAATAACATGACAAGCTATTATTGGGATCAAGAAAGCTGAACATTTCTACCTAACAATTCTGTGTATCATGTTTGGAAGAGGTTTTTAAGAGCAAGTTTATTTGTATTTTACTTTTGTATTTGTATTTACTTTTACTGATTCTAATCTTTACCCTTGAGAAAAATGTTCAGGGAGAGGTACAGATTCAGAATACAATATAATTCCTTGTAGAATGCTAACAGTACAGACTGATACATAGTAGAAATTAAAGAAGAAAACGAGAAATAGATAATGAGGATTACTGTTTAAGAAAACTGGGTCTTGTCTGAGCCAAATCTTTGCTATGTAGAATATTGGAATACAGGTGTAAGGGGTAGGCATGATAAGCATTGCAACAATGCTATGCTTATTACACATGGAATTTCATTGAGTCTTTCAAAGAACTCTGGGTAGTAAATTAAATTCATTAATGTTTTCCATATGAAAGAACCTATTTCAGATGCTTGAAAAGATAAGCAGTGTACAAAATAAAAAAAAATATTTCTCCACAAAGGCTTAGTTGCAAAAGATGTGTGATAAAACAAAAACATTAGATGTAGTATCTAGGGGTTGTAATGTGTTAGGGAGAAACACACAAAAATAAGACTTAGGAGAGAAGATTTCTTGAGTGTGGCTTGGGGGAAGGTTTCACTCTATTTGGGGGAGTTAGAAAGATGTGAGTAGCATGTCCAGGATCACACACATGGCAAGGCAGTACTCGGATATCCTCCTTTCTAACTTGCAACTGAAATACACAGAAAAGGAATTCCCAGAGAACACTTTCGTAAGAATGGCAGGGTTGGTTTTGATAAGGGAAGGAGGCCAATTATGATTCCAAGGGCTGGATTTACTTACACAGTGAAAAGGGGAGGATACCTTTCACTAGGAAGTAAGCAATCAGATCGTCGTGGGCCCTGGAAGTGTATGGAGTTGAGGCATCAAGGAAATTTTTGTTTTTTCTTGTTGCTGACAATGAATTACTACAATATAGACAAAACCAACAAGGTGGTGGTGTGAGGGACGTCTGAACTATAGCTGTACACGAGATTGGAAGCATGCAGTTCTGGTTAGAAGGACTAATATAAGACACAGAGGAATAATTGGGTAGCGGAAATGAACTTGAAGTAGATGAATCACTGGTTGTGGGTGAGGAACTAGAGAATGAGTCAGATGTAAATGCTAGGTATAGATAATGGGTGATGAGGGGAGTTGTCTTTGAATCAGGACAGTGGCTTGGAGTAGACTGATGTTAATTTTATTTTGGAATCACTTTAGAATCTTGAAAACCCTGCAAGATAATTGCAGGACATTTGCAAGCCAGAGTTGGAGTGGCTGCACAAAATGAATGCTTTACTGGGTTATCCAAATGAGAATTCTGGGAGTCATCACAAGTTGTTTCTGTACCTCATCCATATCATCTTGTGTTCCCTCAGGCTATATTTCTTTCCTTTCCCTTCCAAAGGCTCTCCCTTCCCTTTCTGTCTCTGTGGTCCAGTTTATTTGTCTTATTTCCCTGGCTCTTCATGTCTCCTCCATCTTCACCTGCAATTTTATTCTAGAGCATATTTTTAAAGCACCAGTCTCATATGGTAAAAGGTAATGAGTGGAAACAAACTATCACTTATGGACTTCTATCATTCTCTGGGCATTCACTAAGCATGTACAATTTTATTTATCCTTCTGTAAGTTCAAACTTGACTCTTTGGGGAGGCTGTGATTATCCTCATTTAAACAGGGATGCTAGAGCACAGACAGGCTCAGTAAAGCACGCAATGGGAAAAATTGAGTACATGAAGACTAAAACAGACCTATTCGATTTTTCCTGGTCTGAATGAAGGAAGTACTAACTCACCTACATTTTAAGCAAAAGTCCACGTTATTCTCTTGGCACACAAAACCTTTCCATCCCTGCTATCATTCATGATGGAAGACTGGTACTATTCCAAAATGCTAGGTTTTCTCATGCATAAGCTGTGTCCTGGGCCTGCAGTATAGGAAGGGCTCTATGCTTAATGTCTTTATACAGTCTTTCATATTATCTCTGTGTCCCATGTTTTGTTCTCATTCCTTACCCAGAATCTGGACCCATCCTTTTTATTACTTTCCCAAGTTAATACATCACTTCTTCCTGACTGGTATGTCACACCAGTAAGTTAATATCTCCAGTACCTATTGGTAAATTGTGTTTAATACTCTATAAAGTTCCATGTCTGTTTTCCTACTAGATTGTAGAGCGTAAATATCTGATCTATCTCTTCTTTTTCCAGATTTTTATTCAGGCACAGTGCTTGTATTAGAGTAGGGACTTGGCAGTATTTTATTTTAAGATGGAAGAGACAGAAGGGCAGTTTAAGGGAATAGACTAACACCCAAACAAAACTCTAACTCACACTGGAGACAGACCACACTTACATGATCTTCCTTGATTCATCAGTGGTTACCTATAGGTACTCACACTCACAATTGTTCATTAATCAGAACGTATTTCATGTTCAGTTATATGGTTGAGGCACCATTTTTGCTGTGACCTTTTCATGGAGTCATTTTTCTCTTGTGCCATAATATTTGAAGGACAATTTTGTAATGTGTGTAATATACATTCTTGGATTGAGTATGCACAATAGAGGGGCTTGAGCTCAGGGGTGATCCACAGACTAGATCTTCATTTATCGAGTTCTCAGATTGGGAGGTTTCTGAGAAGACACTAGGATTCTGGTTTTAAAGGATCTGGGTAAGGCAGTAAGATGCTCTCTGAGAGTGCAGGAAGATTGCCATGGCCACAGGAAAACCAGCAGGAGTCTGATGAGGTGCCAGGGGAGCCAAATGCAGTAACATCATAATTTCCATCACATTTTTGTTTTATTTTGTTTCTTTTTGATGCTAACATGATGAGTGAAAGCTAAGAAGTTTTTGACCCATGCTTGGCCCTGAGTTTCATGAGGCATCAAGAGAATTCAAAGAGACAGTGTAGGTGAGTGGTGGTGGGGGTATTAAATGGTAACTTAGCCCATTTGTTGCTGTATTTGGGTAATGAAATTTAGCCAAAAGTGCCTGCAAGACTCAACAGTAAACAATCTGTATCTTATCTAGGAGTACACCTGTAACAGAGCAAGGGCATCTCAGCTATTCAGATCAGCTCAATCTGTAGCCAATTAGAAGCTATGAGCTGTCAGGATATGGCCATAAAAGGCAAATGCTGACTGGAGCCCATTAGGCTCCTTAGTATCTCTTCTTCCCTGACTGTACTTGCAAACTCAGTCTACCATAGGGAGGGACTTCTGAACTAACTGTTCAACTATTCACAGATTTTTTTTAAAAAAACTTTCGATCCAGAGTCTTCCAGTGACCTTGAGACTCACAGTGAATGGTATTACAAGAAAAAACAAGAAAAAAAAAAAAAGAAAATGAAGCTCAGAATGTGGAGTAGACATGAGGTCATGCCCATCAATTTCCTACAGGACATTGTAGGGGAAGCACATCATTTTCAATTCTAAGCAAATAAATTGCACTCAAACTATAAATGAAAAGTTCACACACGTTTTTTGCCTACTGATATTAATTAGAGAAAGGAGGCTGAGGAAGAAAGAAGCAAGTACAGTGAAAACAACTCAAACTGAATCAAAAATGGAAGTAAAGTGTTCCTTAAACTATAATGCATTTCTGTAAAAGCCTTTTGATTTATAAACTATGCCCTTGGTCATCTGGGTAAGATGTTGTAAATCCCCACAAGTAATGGACAGATAATTTTCCACTCAGGCTGAAATCTTCTAATGAACACAATTATAGCTACATGGCAAATATATGTTTTAGCAGGCACACAGGTAGCACTCCATTAAAAGGAGCTGCACCTTCTTCACTGTGTAGAAGACATGACCACATGACCAGGGATGGTAGTGTCCCCATCACAGTCTCTGACTATTTCAGTCCCCAAGGTGAAGTGACACATCTTAATGTCCTATGCTATGGGGACATTTGTGGCACACATCTCACGCAGTGTCCAGATTGAAGGCATGAGGTACTTGGGCCCTTGAGGACGTTTTAATACACTAGTGACAAACTATCCTGAGGAAAATCGTAAACACACAAACAACACAGTGTGCAATACTAATAGAGGAGGGACAGGTGAGATGGCTTAGTGGATAAAAATACTTTATGACCTGAGTTTTAACCCTCCACCCTCGCATGGTGGAAGGAAAGAACCAACTCTTACAAGTTGTCATTTGTACCTACACATAAAAGCCATGGTACATGCATACCCCCCTAAGTAAATGTAAAATACTATTTGAGAAGCACTGTTTTTAGCTCTGCTCCATTTTATATAAAAGTATTTTAAGTATAGAACTTATTTGTTATTTCTACCCAAACCTAATCTTAAGAATAAATGTAAGAAAGAAGAAATAAGTAATAGAAGGCATATATATATATATGATATATATATATATATCATATCACATATACATATATCATAATGATTCATCCTTGCATTTTCTCAGAGGTAATATTTTAGTTTATTAAAAACAGACATATTTTTTAAAAATTGTACTTACCAGGCACGAATGGGCTTTGGGAACCCATTCCCTATGGAGGAATACTCTCTCAGTCTAGATACATGGGGGAGGGCCTAGGTCCTGCCCCAAATGATGTGACAGACTTTGATTATTCCCCATGGGAGACCTCACTCTCCCTGAGGAGTGGGTAAGGGATAAGACAGGGGGTTGGCAGAGGGCATGGGAGGATGGGAGGGAGAGGGAACTGGGGTTGGTATGTAAAATAAGATGGTTTTTAATTTAAATAAAAATTAATTTAAAAATTGTACTTACCAGAAATACTGCTATAGAGATTCCAACTAGAAAGCCTGCTATCACATCTGACCAGTGATTTCGATATTCTGCTACTCTGTTGAGTCCAGTAAGAAAGGCCAAACACATTAATCCCAAGCACAGAACGGGTTTAGCAAGTCTGGTGCCTTTGGCTTTGATAGTGTTGGTAATATACATCTGAAATAGCAAATAAAACAAGACTTTTCACAAAAGTATTTTCTTGAGATACACATGAAATACATTGTGTATAAATTACAAAAATATATTTATCAACTATATATGACTATGTGGTTGTAATCATCACCTATAGTTTATGATTCTTGTAACTTGAAAAAGTTGATTATTTGCTGGCTGGCTTCCAACTCCCTACATAGGGAGAGCTGACTTTGAATGCGGGGATTATAGATGCGTGCCACCACACCTGAAATAAAATTTCTCATGATGGTTTCTTAAATATGGAATATAAGAGAGAGAATTATTTCACCTTATGCATCTGTCATGGCCATTTCTTACTAATGACCATTTAAAAAATGTGTGTATGTACACATGATTGCAGGTAGTGGCCAGATATAACAGATCAATCGAACTGGAGTTATAGGCAATTGTGAGCAGTGGGATGGTGGTGCCCGGAACCAACTCAGGCTCTCTGCAAGCACACTGATTGTTCTTAATGGCTAAGCCATCTCTTCAGTTGGATAAGAACCAGTTCCTATGCAGCAGCATCAGTCATCTAGGACATGAACACAGTTATTCCAAGCACTCTCCTATCCTCCACCCTACAAACATTTTTAATGCACTTTTGTTTCACCTGAATTTATGTTAGGTCACTCTCAACATTACTGTTACGAGGGGTAAACTGATGATGTATTAGCGTTTCCATTTGTATGTGCTGTTTTTGATCAAATCAGAATTAAAAATAGCTAGAAAAATGAAATGGAGATTTCTACCAAACTGATGTGACTGTGAAGAAGGTAGTTCATAGTGTGAACAACCAAGGCTGGCTCTTATGTCATTATCTGAAAGCATAAGATTAAATGTCAATAAAGAACACACAGTGTCAACTGGTTGAGGTGAAGGAAATATATCCAGGTTGTGAGCAAGCATGCTCAGGAATAATTTGGTTCTTCTCCAAATTATTCTATCACTTATTCTATGGCTTCATTTCTCCTGACTTAAGTCACATATCATTCTATTAGCAAACCTGTTGACTTCAACTGGATAGTGACAGTATTCTAGTCAACAATATGGAAAGTATGAAAGAGGGTAGGTTTGAAAATACAACTAGATTTATGGTGTTAATGTCAGTAAATAACTGGTACTCATAATACACTTAGAAAAATATTTATAGACAGATATAATCTATTATATTCTTTAATCTTGACTGTTACCTTGAGTCAGATAGAAAATAAATTTGCTTATGAAAGTAGACTAAAAGAGCTGTATCTAAGCTTTTATTCCATAATGACCATTTCAGAACTCTATGAAATACAGTAATAATTTTTTGCTTTATTTTCAAGGCAACATTTGCAGCCTGTTAGCTGACAGAAAATGTTTGCATACATAATCAGTTCAAACAATTCTAGTCTTCTCCAAGTCTAAGTTATGGACCTTTGAAATTTGTCTCAGGGCTCAATATTCTCAATGGAATATACAAAGAAAGGAGAGGGATTCTCTCACTTGGCCAATGACATTTGGAGCTAGGTCTGTAGATTTTTTACTTATTTATTTACTTTTATTTAGAAACTATCATTTTACATATCAATCCCCCTATTCCCTCTCTCTCCCATTCTCCCATGTCCCCTCACCGAACCTACCAGCATCACCACCCACTCCCCAAGGATAATGAGGCCTTCCATGGGGGATCCCCAAAGTCTGTCACATCATTTGGGGGAGGGCCTAGGTCCTCTTCCGTGTATCTGGGCTGAAATAATATCCCTCCATAGGGAATGGGCTCCTGTTTGTGCACTAGAGATAAATACTGATTTCACTGTTAGAGGTCCCATAACTGCCCAGACCTCCTAACTGTCACCCACATTCAGCAGAAACAGGCACCCACAGCTAAGCACTGAGCCACACTCCTGGAATCCAGTTGTAGAGATGGAGGAGGGATGAGAAAAGGAGTCAAGACTGACTTCCCGGAGAAACCTACAGAAACAGCTGACCTGACCTAGTGAAGGCACAGAGACCCCAGTTGCAAAGCTGGGGAACCAACATTGGTCTGTAGATTTTAAGCCTTAGTATTTCAGTTATAGGGAACAAGGATTCACAGGGAGAGATGAGAAAGATGAAAGGATGCCGTTGCCCTTGTGAGACAGAATATGAAAGAACTCTGCCCATAGGAATAACAATGGCATCTGGCCAGTGAATCTTTGCAGTAATGTTGTCAATACAGTAATCCCTCTTCTGAATTTGGACTGCTTGTGGAATTTTCTTTAACAAAGTCTCAAGGACAGTTGATAATTCTCCACTTTTTCATTTCTTCACATCTGGACAACTCAAAAGATAACCTACCCTTATTAGAATAAACATGAGTTAATTAAATGATAGGAATCATTCTAATATTTTTAGATCTGTGATTTAGTAAGTGGTTCCTTCCATGGCAATGTTTTTAAGACTCTATCTCATTAAGTCTTTAAAGTAATTCTAGAAATTGGGTACTGTGATTACCTATATTATATAAATGAAAAAAACTGATCAAGATAAAGTTTATTGTAGATCACCCAACTTTATTTTAGTGGTGGAAACATTGGCAAAGCAGAAATGAGACTATAAACAGAGAACTTCAGGTACTTCCTGATCATAGGGCTTCAGCTGCTCTTACTTGCATTCCTTTTACTTCACTGACTTATTTTAAAGGTGCAGGCAGTGACTAAAAGACTTAAATAGAGCTTTGGAAAATGCAAGAGAACTGGAAGTAAACATGAAAGAAAGATGCCACCATAGCATTCTAAGAGTAACAAAATGGCCTGCTCCATCATTAGGGATGGAGAATACAAAGAAGGGCAAAGTTCTCACAGAATCTCTATGGTTTTGGTAAATGTTTGCCATTGTTTTCCCAGGGCCATCTCGGATACAACTTTACTCTTAGTCAACTCTGGTGATTCAGACAAATTATTGGCTTGGACTGTAGCTGCTTAAATTCAATGATGACTCATTTCTTGAATTACCCTACTAACTCAAGGAAGCTTACAGGGAGCCCCAAATAGTATGGCCAGTATGTAAACTAATGAAAATGGGCCTCTATTAGAAGAAATTCACACTTGATTTCCCTTCTATTAAATCTAAGGCTAATGTCCAAACCCAGAATGGAATGTGAGAGGTTCACGGGATTGCAGACCTATGAGAATTACAAAAGTTACAAGAATTGTACAAGCAATACATATAACATTAAGGTTGATCATAGCAATGCTTTATAAAGTAGACATGCTGTTGAAGTAAATTCGCCTTGAATATAACAAGAGACAAATTAAAAAATGTTTCATTTGTACTTGGAAACTCTTTAGTGTTTTATGACAAGAAACTTTTAAATAGTCTATTTGTGTTATGCTTCCAGAAAGTCTATTATAGCTAATCTGCAGAAGGGGAATCATAACATAATGTTCTACCAAGGAAGAAATATAGGACAGAAATTGATTATTTATGCTTTAGTGGTTTCTAATTCACTTATGAAATAATCTAGGTTAACCAGATGTCAAAATGTAGCTAAATTAAACACAAACAGAAGATAAGTATGATTTGAGCAGGATGGTGTTCCCTCCATCCTCATGTGTCTGTGGATGCTAACTTGTTTACAGCTGACTCATTTAGCTGTATTATCCATCCTTATTCACCCATTCCATTCAAGAAGATGCAGAAGGCCAAAGCCAATCATTTGATTCCTGTTAATATCCCACTATACATTCTTTCATGTTTCTCTTTACTTATTTAAATATAACTAACTAATACATAGACACAGGGTTGCTAACTGGTTCACTTTTACTGAACCAGTAATGCCCTATTATTCTGTAATGTGGATTTTCTCATTTGTTATAGTAAACACCAATCATTTAGTCAAATATGCTGCTTATAAAAGAGTCCTGTTATAGTCAATATATTTAAGTTACTAAGTACCTACTATGTGCCTAAGGCTGCATTAAATTTCTCCAAGGAGGAGACATCCAAGTTTGATCCTGAAAGATGAGCATGAGTGTCCAAGACAACAGAATCTGAAACTGTTGGGGGAGCTAGCCAATATATAGGAGATAACCCAGGTAATCCATCCATGTGTTCTCATAGAACCAGGCTCATCTTCTCAGAACTTTTGACATGGTGGCTGGCTCTTATTTGTTTTATTTGTTTCCCTCACAATAAGGGAGACATAGAAATGAAGCTTAGTCCTTCACTGTAAACTCCATGCTTGGCACTTCACCTGACTTTCAGGGAGCTCTTACTAAAACTAGACTTAATAAAGAGAAGATTGAGTGAGGGTTAGCTAGGAGGAAGAGTGCAGAGTATTTGGGACATTTTTCCCTTTGTAGAATAATGTATATACTGCCATGCTTCTTCAATTATAATATTCTATTAGAATGAAGCATATGTCCAGTCACTGCTATAATTTGAAATGCATAAAAGTTTTTTGCACAGTAGGCATTCAAAACTTACTGCATGAAGGAAGCATGAAAGGCATAGTTGGGGAAAGGTGGAATTTTGAACTCAGTACATGAAAGCACATCACTACTTGAAATTATCTTGAATATATATTTGCTGTCTTCCTCCTTTTACTGTCTTGTTTTCTAGGAGCAAAGTCTATACTGGGGTAGTCACTTGTGACAAGAAGAATATGAGCCCCAAAAGGACATCTGTGAATCTTCAGTTCCTTGCTGTTTATTGTAAATATGGTTCCCAATCACATGAGTTTTTGAAAAGATATGATGTTCTCTCATTGTAGCTGGAAAGGAAGACTAAAGCCATAGATGGAAGGAACACATATATAATCTCATAAATCCAGGGAAGGTGAGGGATTGATTTGCCACTAGAATGTCCTCAAGGCTGGACACCAGAGGACAAGTTCCCTTTAACCCAGTGAGACCCATATTTGACTTCTGGCAGATAAAATTCTATGATATATACTACTTGTTTTGTTCCACATTACTGTGTTTGTGATATTTCCTATGTTCAATAGAAATCATACTCAGGCA